ACTCTCAAGGAGCACCTTTATGGTACATGTCGTTCTTGTTTCGTTCTTTTTCTTTTTTACTTTGGAATTGAATTTATTAAACTTTGTTCGACCTAATATATCTTACGTAGGGCCGTTAACACATGGAAGAGGTGTTAATTGGATGAAGCGCCTTGAAATTGCTGCAGATGCTGCAAAAGGTTAGTTTAACCGGACCCAAAAAAGGTCTCGTGTTGATGGTACCTATTAATTCAACTCGCCTATTAATTAAAGAGACGATAAACTTTAAAATTGTGCATACATCAAAACAGCAGAACAATAATCGCGTAAAGATTTTCTCCTTTTTGCTTGTTTTAGGAATCGAGTACCTCCACACTGGCTGTGTCCCGTCAATTATCCATAGAGATTTGAAAACGAGTAATATTCTTCTCGACCAGAACATGAGAGCTAAGGTTTCGGATTTTGGCCTCTCGAAACTAGCAGTCGATGGAGCTTCTCATGTGTCGAGCATAGTTCGAGGCACCGTTGGTTATCTTGATCCCGAGTAAGACTCTATCTCTCTCTCTCTCTGTCTCTCTCTGGACTTTTCGGGCGCGATTGACTACAAATTAAAACCGGTTTTGACTGATTGAATAAAATTTTTTATTTTTACTTTTGTTTACTCAAATTTGATCCAATCCAACTCTCCTCAATATTATTAATATAATTAAATAATATCAATCAATCATCCTCACACCTCACATCAACTTTAATTCGTCGTTCATCTACTCACATATTTTTGACTACCTATCATTTCCAATAACATATTTTCTTTAATCATTACATTTTAAATATTATTTAAATATAAACTAAAAGTTCCACCCAATCCTCCACTCAATCAATGTTACTTAAAATTAACTCACTTTATCTTAAAATCCAATCAAAACTGGTTTTGATATATATATCCAATCGCCCCCCTCAGCTATTAACTTCTTTTTGTGCTCTAATTTTATCACACTTGTGGTTCTCCATCTTTTCATGTTATGCAGGTATTACATCTCCCAACAATTGACAGATAAAAGCGACGTTTATAGTTTCGGGGTCATCCTTCTCGAGCTAATTTCTGGTCAAGAAGCGATTTCTAACGAAAGCTTTGGCCTCAACTGCAGAAATATAGTCCAATGGGTAAATATTCTTGATAACTCTAGAGATAGTTTTACTAAAGCCAGTTGAAGATTATTAGTCCAATTTAAAAGAAGACCCACCTAGTTGAAATACTTCATTATTAAGCTGAAATTCATGAAACAAATGTTGCAATTACAAAAAACGCGACTATTTCGGTGCTAATCTATTATTATTATTTAATTTCACGAGCAGGCTAAAATGCATATCGAGAGTGGGGACATACAAGGAATTATAGACCCTACGTTGCACGAGTATGATATCCAATCGATGTGGAAAATAGCCGAGAAGGCATTGATGTGCGTGCAGCCCCATGGAAACATGAGGCCCTCGATTTCTGAGGTAATAAAGGAGATCCAAGATGCAATCACGATCGAGAAAGGTACCGAAACTGTTAGGGAAGGAAGCTCGGACGAGATTTCGAGGCATTCGGTCCACTCGTCTTTAAACACAGGGTCTATGGATATGGGAGCCAGTGATCATTATTTGTCCATTGATGACTCCATTGCGCGGCCTGCTGCTCGATAGGACCGTGCATCCTTTTTTTTTTTTTTGGCTCGTGAT